CCAAACCAAATCAAACCATATAAATTTCGGTTTAAAAGAAAAAACCGAACTAAACCGAATTTTTTGGGCCTTGTTTATTTGGGCTTTAATCTGCAATTTTTGTGGGCTTCCAAACCATATAAACCAATATGAAATATCATATTCATCAACATAGCAGTACTGCAGTAGCATAATCGGATTAAAACAACATTAACAAGTTCTAAAACTTCTAATTCAAAGTTGCAAGGTCAATCTGAAGAAAAAAAAAATTTCAACACTTCATCCAAAAAAAAAAATTGTTCAACATTACAACAACTTTAACAATTGAAACAGCAATAACATAACAGCAACAAGCAGCAGCAGCATCAGGTCAACAACATCATCATACAGAAGCAGGTCAGCAGTAGCATAGAGCAAGGCAGTAGCAACAACAATGAGCAAACAGTAGCAGCAGAGCCACATCAGTCTATTATTTCAAGCACTTCATCAATATCAGCATCACCAATTGCCATATTCTTCAAATCTATCATAATTCATAACAAAAATAACCAAGTTAATATATATATATACATAATGAAAATAAGTAACTTTTGATTAGATGTTCTTATATATTACCTTCTTCAAGAAGCTCAACTTCCTTTAAATATTCTTCAATACTTGGAAATGGTGAAGCACGTAACCAATTTTGAGCACAAACAAGACCTTCTACAACTCGGGGAGTTAATGAGCTCCTATACTGATCTAGAACCCTGCCACTAGTGCTGAATGCACTCTCAGAAGCTACTGTCGAAACAGGGACAGCAAGAACATCACGGGCAGTTCTCCCCACAGTAGGAAACCTTGAACAATTGAACTTCCACCAGCTCAAAATGTAAAATTCATCAATATCATCCGCTGTATCCTCCTCCAAATATTTGTCTAACTCTATTTTTGCATCTCTATCTCTCTCACACTTGTGTTTCTTATACTTACTCTTTAAGACTTCAATTTCTTATGTTTGGGAGACAATGGAGTTTTGTCATCCTTACTTGAAGACACTTCCTCCTTATTCACATCCTTAGATGAAGAAACACGATACTCCTCATACAAAGCATTCAAAGCATCCTTCACATTATTAACCAACTTTGATGCAACAATAGGATCATAAATTTCAGTTATCATCCACTCAACATAAACAAGCTTATAACGAGGATCAAGGACAACGACAATAAAAATCAGGAGGTTTATTTTTTCTGGATCACCCCAATACTTTTCATAATTTTCTTTCATTCTACAAACCATAAGACACATATCCGGATCATCACTTGAAACCAAATCTTTCAAAAGTACAGCAACACTCACCAATTCATGAAAAAAAAAATTCGAAGTGACATATAAAGAGCCAAAGTCATGTAAGGTCAGATCATAAAAGGCTTGTAGAAATTCAGAAAATCTTCTCACATTATTCCAATCATCAGAATCAGGGCTACCCTTACCATCCCTCTCATTCAAATCAATTACATAGTGAGGGTCTTCCTCAGAATACCTCTCAAAAGCATCCTCAAGTTCAATAGCAGCATTCAACATTAAATAAGTGGAGTTCCACCTAGTAGGCACATCAAGGCACAATCCCTTTTTTGTGTTGATTTTTTCATCTAAGACACATTTTTAAACCTTTGCAACCTAGTAGGAGATTGTTTGATAAACCTAACAGCATGCCTAACACGTTGAACCGACTCATTAACAGTTTTCAACCCATCAAAGATAACCAAATTGACAACGTGTGCAACACAACGCATGTGAATGAAACGACCCTTAAGAACCCCAGTTTTCCATCCATTTATTTTCTTTCTCATATACCCAATTGCAGTATCATTTGAGCTAGCATTGTCAATAGTTATGCACATGACTTTTTCAAGCCCCCAATCAAGCAAACACTTTTCAATTTCTTTGCCAATATCATCACCCTTATGACTAGAAATAGGACAAAAATTCAGAATTCTCTTGTGTACTTTCCAATCATTATCAATAAAGCGGACAGTCAAGCACATGTAATTGATTTGTTGTATAGAGGTCCATGTATCAGTGGTTAAAGAAACTCTTGAATTACACCTCTTTAACACATTTTTCAGCTTTCGTTTTTCAGTTAAATATGTTTCAAAACAATCTTTGGCTACTGTAATTCGAGAAGGAACATTAAATCTAGGTTCCATTACACCACAGAAGTGTCTAAAACCTATACCTTCAACAAACTTAAATGGAAGTTCATCAACAATCACCATAAATGACAAAGCTTTTCTCAGCATCAAATTTGTGGTACGTCAACCCACTAGTACCACCACTTGGTACTTTATCACTTTTAAATAAAAGCATACTTTGTTTTGAATCTTTAGGGGTGTTAAAGGGATACTTACGACATCGCGAAATATGAGCCCATAACACACTAGTGCTGTTTTTCTTTGCCCCACACTTGTAGCTCATCCCACAATACTTGCAAGTTGCCTGCCTTCCAGAAGGTAAATAATCTTCTTTAAAAAAGTGCTCCCAAACTTCAAAGCGCTCTTTCATCCTCTTCCTTTTTGCTCCCTCTTCTTTTTTCTGATTTTGAGAGACTTGGTCAATCTCATGTTCGGATTGAGGCTGGTCAGGAACACCACCCACATTGGTTGCCATAGGCCTAGGACATAAAAAAAAAACAAATTAATAGAGCAAAGCAGTAGCATAAAGCAATTCAGCAAAGCAATAGCAGACTAGCAGTAGCAATGAGCAAAACAGTAGCAGTCTAGCAGAAAATCAGTAATTATTCGAAATTCTTCTTACTGTAGTTGTTATTCGTTAATCAGTAATTCAAGGATTGTTCGAAAATAATTCAGAAATTGTTCCAAATAAGTAATTGTAGTCGTTAATTCAATTTCTTAACCTAATCTATACTTTCCTAAATATTCTTATCAATTTATGAAATTATGAAGCATAATCGCACTATCAACATGAATATGAAGCATAATTGCATGAACATCAAGCATAATCGCAAGTATAATATGTAAATCAAGCATAATTGCATGAACATCAAGCATAAATGCATAATTGCAATTCGCAAGTATAATCGCAATTGAGATGCAAAGAATGAAACTTAAAAGCATACCTTTGGACGGTGGAGTGGGTGGACGCTGGACGCTGGACAGTGATCGGACGCCGGTGGACTTTGGTCGACTGGTCGGATGTCAGTGACTCAGTGAATACAAGAGTAGGCGAGTATGAGGAGAGTGAGAGGGCGAGAAGGATGAATGTTAGATTAAAGTTTTTTTTTTTCTTTATATACTTAGGGTAAAATCAATGTTGGGCTAGGGGGTTTGGGCCGAAATTTCAGTTTTTTTCGGATTTTCAATTTCTCAAACCGAAACTTAACCGAAAATTGAAATATTTTTTTTTTCAAAACCAAACCGAACCACTTTCGAAAAAAAAACCGAACCATATTTCTTATTCGGTTCGGTTTTAAACAAAATTTGTTTCACCCCTACCTATGACCACCCAGCCCTCCACACCAAACCCGACACCCCAATCTTCTTAAAAAATTATTTATTATAATTAAAATTAAAAATAATTTTTGTATTTAAAATTAATATTAAGCTATATTTTGTTTTTTCTTAAGTCATTCTTATTTAATTGAGAGTTAATTATAGTAGAAGTCAATTGATGACTTATTTGACCAGTCACAAGTCAAATCTCGTACTTAAATTATTTATGAAATAGAGACATCAATGTTAGACTTATTTTTTAATTTATTAAAGTTGACTTAATATTGGAAGATTACCTAAAGTTCAACTTATTGTGGTTATCTTTTTCATTATTTTATTATATTAGACTTTCCTTTTACTAATCATTTGTATATGCATTTATAGAAAACGTATCATACGTTCATATTTTTAACTTAAAATGTTCAAAAAATTAAAATATAACCAAATACAGAATTGTTCATAACAAAATACACAAATATCACTAACAAAAAAATCAAAAGAATATGAAAGCTATTCATTCTGAAACTCAAACCTAGCCATGGTGATTTAGATAATGGAATCTCATCGGAAAATAATCATCTCCATCGTCTTAACCACCTTCTCTTCATTGAAGCCGCCATTTTTAGCTTCACTTTATTGCAGAAACTCCATTAACAAAGCTTCAAATTGAAGGTTGAAGAAAACGAAATTTAAATTTAATCTATGGTGATCAACATTGGTAATGAAGGAATTCAATCTATGGTGATCAACAATGGTGATGAAGGAATTCAATCTATGGTGATGAAAGAATTCAATCAAAAACAAAATGATGAATGAATTCAAGAGAGAGAAAGATAAACTAGAGAGAGAAAAAGAGGAGAGAGAAAGATAAACTAGAGAGAGAAAAAGAGGAGAGAGAAATCGAAAATTAGGAAAGTGAGAGAGGAAGAGAAGAGAAGAACGTTGAGAAAATTTAAAGAAGGAAGCAATTGCTACTGCAGGCAATGAACGAAATGTGACGTTGAATAGGTGGAGGCGTGGAGCACACAAATAATGCTGATTACATTTGTTTGCTTCATTGGGAATGAATAATATTTTTATGTTTGGTTGAAAGGAATTGTTGAGAGAGAAAAGTGGTGGGGTTATAAGGATATGGTCCCTATAGTCAAAAGTAGTATAGGACAAATGTAAAGGGACGGACAAGAAAGGAAAATGAAGCAAACATTAAGAGACAAAGGGAGTACATTACTGATCAGTTATAATATCACATGCATAAGCATGAGTATCATTGTAATGTCTATGGCTAAACTTATGTGTGTGCATTTTTCATATCATTTAGATACCCAATATAGAGTTAGAAAAGTGTTTTTATTATTATTATTATTATTATTATTATTATTATTATTATTATTATTATTTTTTAGTTAAGGGACATAAACTTTTGAAAGCATTTTTGACAATGCAAGGGATTCACCATTTTTTCCCCCTTGTACAACAATTTAACTTCAGTTATCAAACATTTAACAAGAGAAATGGAAGATGAGGCTATATAGGTCAAGGAATTTATCACATTTCATTATCATAATCCTTGAATGAAACTAATGACTTTATTCAAGGTATTATACACTGTTTATCAGTATCAACAACAGAAAAAGGAACTTCATTCTGTGCTAACAAATGCATCTGCTCTAGAGCACACAACAAATCTATAAAACATCATCAAATTTGTGCTAAATCTATATCAGCTATAAACTAGCACTGTAGAGGCAAGTACTGACAAATTAGAATTTCTGAGACCCGATTAAGCAGCAGCACTAATACATTCAATGGCCTGCTTGCATATTCCGGTCATTGTTGCCTCAGGCCCGCACACCTGCAAAATGAAAAAGAAATAAGCAAAGCAGACATCTTAAGCTTTTGATTGTTATGAACTAGGGGCTCTTTAGGATTACAATGGACTCATGGTTCAATGTTATTACTTTTTTTTTTTACATCATCCATAAATAAGTAAAGATCAGAACTCTCAGACAATTGTTATCTACTTATGGTAAATCTTACAGTATGACTTTTAAAGTTTTCAGCTTAAATTCTAACACAGACGGATACTCTATAGTTGCAAGTTAAGGATTACATCAAGGGTATCTCAAAGAACGCAACATAAGAAAGAGCATCATAGGTAACAAATTGATTGTTGAGCTTCTGAAAGCAAACAGAATATATGTACCTCAATAGGAATTCCAATCTCTTTTCCAAGCAGCCGCATTTTAGCCAAACCCTTCTGGTAATTTGGACCTCCTCTCCTCACATAAATGTGCATTCTTGCGGCTTTAAGCTTTGATTCCTGTTAAAGGAAAAACCAGCAGATGTGTTTCAGAAACTGAGCTGATTCAACATTCAGGCACTAACCAAAAGCAGTAGTGAAGCAAGTTAACCTTCTCCTTCAGAGCTCTGATTATTCCATTGAAGGTAGCAGCAACATCAGTAAAATTAGCAATACCTCCACCAACTACGAGGGCTCTCTTGCGACCATCAGGATCTGCAGTAGCACACTGCAGAGGTTGTATAATAATTAGTGATGTAAATTTAGGATGAAGGGTGTTAATAAATCAAGAGTTGAAGATGATATTTCACATAGTTATTGGTTAACAATAAATTTATGCAACATGATGATGGCCTTTCATGCATACGTGAGGAATTTTATGTAGATAAAGGGCTCAGCTTAAGAGCTAAATAGAGAAATCAACTTACAGCAATTACTACTCTGGCATAAATAGAGAAATCAACTTACATCAATTACTACTCTGGCATAAATAGAGAGATCAACTTACATCAATTACTACTCTGGCATACTGTAAGACCTCATCTTCATTAGGAGCACCACTATATTCAGCATAGTTCCCAAGCTCAAATGCATAGCCAAGATCCCCAACCTGTAGCAAGGAAAAAATTTAAGCCATGAACGAAACTTATGCAAGATATTTTTAAAGATCAAAATGTCCATTCTTCTGTCCAAGTCCATACAGTATCTGCGTAGATCACACTGGCTCCTCCTCCAGCCACCATGGTCCAAATCCTTCCCTTAGGGTTCAAAACTGTGAATTTCAAGGACGCACTTGTCTGCACAACAAGGAACACATAATACAATAAGATCACCACGTACAACGATAATTTTAGACAATGTAACTACATGTCAAGCCTTGCTAAAATAATTAGGAACATCATCTGAGAAAGGAAGCTACTTTATACCTTTTCATCTAGACCATGAACAAAGCTCTCTGTTGGGCTCATAACTCTTCCAAATGGCAATGGAAATTCGATATTACCCCACCTGCAGAAGTGTAAAAAAAACGGGCAGGTGTCATTACTTAAGGAAGCTAGGAAGAACTGAATAAAGGTCATGGAGAAATTTTGTGCGGTTGAGAGAGCGCATACTTCTTGAAATTCTTGAAGGTAGCAGTATCATCTAGCTCGCCTCTCATGTCCAAAGGATAGGGGCTCCCATTGACTAATGTGAAAGGATTCATTTCTAGGAAAGTGAAATCCAGATCTGCATTTATGATATTAATTAACAATTACGCATAATTAATATCAAGAGCATCAGTAAAAGTTGCTTACTAATCAAGCAAAAAAGAAAAACGAAGGTGACATTGTAAGAGGATTGCCGCTTTTTTAATGTTTTTTTGCCACAGAAACCTCAAATGAACATATTTTTCTTGCCCTAATATCAGCTTGTTTGTCTGAGATTAAAACTACTAAAAAAGAGTATGTCCAATTACCTAAAAACAGGGAAAAAGTGACTTTGATAAACTCCTCAATAACACTTTTGAACTAAAAGGGAGAAAAAAATTTGTCAGCGATACTAATATAAATTACACAAAAAGTAATATTCTCAACAGATAATTTCCCTTGAAAAGTAGTACAACTTTACTCTACAGTAAAATATAAATAAAGCAATTATATTATACTTCCAAAGGTCATGGAGTACCTCCAAAGGTAAAGTAGCAACCAGAGGAGCACAGACTTCAGAAGTAAGAGAAACACCAGTGGGAACAAAGATTGTTTTTGACCTGGATAGAGAAGAAACCAATGTCTTACAGCTTAAGTGTTTAGTATGAATAATTTTTCCATGCAATATGAAATGGGCATCTAGAATGATTTTCATTTTGAGAAATCGAAGTGTCAGGAGTACCTTATCCCAGTTCTCTTCAATCTCAATTCCACCACACTCTGAGAAGCTTATACTGTTCCCCAGTCTTTCTGAGACAATGTTAAGATAAAACTCTTCATTGTGTGGAATGAAAGGCTCGACAATGAAAGTAGTAATAGGTCCTTTACATCCACCCATCTCCACCTGTTAATGTAGCATAAACCAACATGGATTATGGTTTGAATAATCAGTAACTACTACAATAAAGCAACTTTCACTAACAAAAGTAGCACTTATTGTCCTGATGATCAATTCAACCTACCTCTTTGCCAAGACGTTCTTTTACGAAAGCAGTAACCTGGGAAAAGTCCAGATTGAGGGCAACTAAACCACTTTTGCCACGCTTCCCAAACAACATGTCAGGCTTCACAACCAACTTTTCAGATGATAGCCATGGCTCATTCTGAACAAGTTCATTCAGGTCGGTTGACTCTGTAATCTAGTCAAAATAAAGACAACTCAGGACAAATTCAAGTATCATATACAGCAGCATCAATGACATTTTTAGAAAGTAACTTTACAAGAAACCCATGCCACATTGAAGATAAAAATCCACAGATAAGGTTGTGCAGTAGAAAACAAATTTAGTTAGTCAATGAAATTTGCAATAGAGCAAATGATTGCATATTCATAGGAAAAGAAACACATCAGAGTAGATAACATTGAAGCTTTTAGGTCAAATTGTCATTTCCAGCAAGAAAATGGATTAGATTCTGACAAAGAACTCTTAAATTGTTCTAGAAAACATGCAGATTCATTTAGGACATAGCCAAAAAAAATTTAGCAGAATTCTATATTGTATGGTTTCATACTTCGTATTACATCAGCACATATTGAAGATTGCTGAGTAGCAAATGATCATTGGATACTGATTTTTGGGTCAATCAGGATGTAGCCTCTCCATTATTGCAGGATTAATACTGCATAACCTGTCTAATGAAGTAAGAGTATCATCAAATACATTCGTATACCGTTGTTGATTGAAGCCTTGTGAATTGAATTATTTACATATACCAAAGAGTCAAAAACACAACCAAAATGATCACCCTACCCTAAATTTCTTCCTGAAATCACGTTATAGTTGGCTATTTAGCCAATTAGCCTTCCACTATTCTACAAGACTATTATCATGGATATGTGAATAGAGACTCGTAGAATCTTCTTATTCGGTCCATGATACATTCTTATTGGAGACATTATCATAATCCATATATCTTGACTGAATGTTAACATAAAGATCATATAAAAAGGTAGGACAGATTTCTAACCAGATCACACATAACTATGATTTTTCACATGAATAGATCACCAAAGATAGTCAAAGTAAAGTGTGTAAACAATGTAAAAGTCAATACGTTGCAAGTTTGCAACTAAAACATGGATCACCGGCTTCACTGCAAAATCAATTTCGTATTTCCGTTCAGCATATGAGGATTGAAATCATAATCCCCAATCAAAGTCAAGTAATAAACCTAAACAAACAAATCAACAGAAAAAAAATTGCCCCCATTTGGGAAAATCGTCATTAAAACCGAAAATCTATATTGATAAACTACTACATTTTTCAATAACTAGCAACAGGGTTTTAACATACTATTTCGATTAATCCGAAACGGAGGAAAGACAGTTCAATTTCATGACAATGTAGTTCAACAACACATTATATTTGCATAATATATGATCCAAATCACATAAAAATAAAATCTGAACTCAAAACCCACGGAATAAAATGAAGAATTAATCTTACTTGAGCTGATCTAATGGGTAGTTCAGAACCAGAAATTCTCTTAAAATGCTCCTTAATCAACCTCTTTGAATCGTACTCTCTGATCTTCTTCCTTGCCATTTTCCCCTTTGTTAAACCTAATTTTCACCCAAAAATCAAACTAACAAAATATCAAAAACCCTAAATTCAAAATACTAGAAAATCAAATCAACACAACAATAGATCAATAAAATTCAAATTCAACAATTTTATGAAAACCCAATCTTGTCAATTTATCAAAATAAAATAAAATAAATAAATAAATAAATTACCGTAAAATCAAAATCAGGTAGCTGAAGAGAGAGAAAATGTGAATCTGGGAGATTTAATGGGAGAACTCACAAACAATGGCTGAAGCCTGAAACTTATTTATAACTGCATAAAATTGACTAATTTTACTGGAAATTATTATTTTTTTTTTTTTCCTTTTCTGTAAAAATTAATTGTTAATTATTTAATAATAATTAATTAAATGGAATTTCGCGGGAAGATTTATTGCATAGTACCTACCAGTCACCATATGACCAACAGCTTCATACGAAGCAATGTTGTCCGTTGATCTTACAGATCGGACGGCTAATAATATCGGAGAACATTACGTATGATTTTGTTTTTTTTTTTTTTATTATTATTATTTAATTGGAAGTAATAAAATTAATGTTTAGTTGATCGCTCACCAACTTAGAATCTGACGTCAAAGATACGTTAAATCAGAATTGTCATAATTATAGTAACTATAAATTAATCTCATATATTTTCTGATCATTGGCGGACCTGCCCTTGTGCATGGTGAGTCAAATTGTCTTTGGTTGATTTTGTTGTTGTTTGTTTGGTAAACTTTGAACCTTTTGTTAATGTTGTTGGGTTTTTGATGAAATTTGAACCTTTTTGACCATGTGAATTGTAATCAATGTTTATTTAGGGTGTTTATTGATGTTAATTATGTCTGTCAAATTGTCAATACACCATTGACTTTGGTAGATTTATATGGGGTTTTGCATATGTGCTGATTTGATTGGCGATTCGGACGATTGCTTATGATATAGTCGACCCACCCTAATGATATAGTCAATTATGTCTGTCAAATTGTGAATACACCCTAATGCTTGTACAGATTTTAATCTTGTCAATTATTAGAGAGCTAAGCTTGTCATGTTGTCAAATTTTTTTTTTTACATATTTGGTTATCGATTGTGACTCATCAGTCGGAAATTCCTGGGTCCGCCATTGTTCTGATGCATTGCATTTTGGATTCATCATATCATGTGATTACATAATTACTTGCTGTAAATAACGTAAATGGTATTATTATAATGCTACTCTATATCATTACATTTTTTATTCATTTGTTAATTATCTTAATATTAAGGTCTCTATATCAAGATATGCTTTGATTTGATTTACTTAATCTTTGATCATTTTGGAAATAAAAAATTATCAAATGATATGCACTTAGAATTGTATTAATATTTCATCAAATTGTATTAATATGTGTTTTTTGGATATAAACTTTTCATGATCTTTTTGTTAGGGAATCAAAATATAAATGCAAAATAAAAAGATACGGAGTATACCTTATCTAATTCATTCTAGTCTAGTTCAATCTGATCATTTATAAACTAAGCAAATAAAAATACTTATTATTTTTTTTTTAACAATACATGTACTTACTTATATAAAATGAACTTTCATAAATATATAATTAGTAAGAATGTAGGATACAACAAAGTAGCTTCAAATACAAATTTAGTTGTAATTTAAGGTGCATTATTAGGTTTACATGACTTTAACTTATTTGAGCTTTTATTTATTTATTTATAAATATCTTATTTGAATTTATTTTTCTTGAACTTAAATTTTTAAAAACTTGTTAACTCTTAATTTATAGTATAAATTTATTTTCTAATATAAGTGAAAATAATAAGACGAACAAGTAGTAAACAAATGATGATGATAATTAGCTATTATAATGCATGCTTGCTATGCACGTTATGTGTAATATACATAGAAATGCATGCATTATCTTACATTTGAAGTTGCACCCAAATATACGATAAAATCCATATTCTCTACATATTTATATATTTTTTTATTTAATACACAGCTCCATGATTAAGAAAATCATGAAATAATTAAAAGTATATAATATAACTCATAATGTAACGTGGTTTGGTGAACCTCCAAAATATGAAAGGAAGGGGAAATGTCACTCGTGGGTCGCAAGGTGCCCAAAACAAAAGGAGCTCCCTCGCGCAAAACGTGCAAAAACTCCCTTCTTAAACTGCAAATCCTCCCATTCTTTTATTTTCTCGTGCACAACAGTTGATTTTTTTTTATATTTATTGCCATTTAATATATACAATAATTAGAAATTGTCAATACAACGTTAGCATATAGATGTAATATAGTATATATATATATCTTTATTCCAAAAAAAAAAAAAAAAAAAAGATGAAAAAAGATTTAATATTTTTTTTTTTGGTTCATACGAGTCACTTAGGGCGGGGATGAGAATCGATCCCAAGATCACCTGGAACCGGGAGAAAAGCTCTTACCAACTGAGTTATCCCTCACTCTCAAAAAAAGATGTAATATATATAAATCATGAATTTGAAAATATAAAGTATACTCAGGAGCTTTCATAAATAATGACTTTGAATAGAAGTAACAAATTACTAGTTGTTTCTTGAGTTTGTACATAAGTAATTGAGAATGTTAGTATCATTGTAAAGTCCTATTAGTGTTACACCTAGACATAGGATGGATAAGTTATAGAAATCTATTAAGACCTAAAATTACTAATTCGCATCTAACCCTCAACTAATTGCCAACCACTAATAAAGAGTTACGAGTATTAATAAGAGGTTGGAGATCTTTAAAGATGTCATGTTCTTTTGAAAACGGATATGTATACAAATACAATATAAACAGGAGAAATGTCATGTCGAAAAAGAAGCACACAAGATATGACAATTCGAAACTCATATTGTTATACGGATATTTCAAAAGCACTTAATTTTCTCTATTCTCTAAAATTATTGTAGTATATACTCCGACATAAAAATTAAAAATTTATCATCTTTTATATCTCTTCACTTTTTTACTTGTTCTTTTCATTTGAAAATTTTCATTTAATGTGAAGACCTTAGCTATAAAAGATGTCATCAAGTGTCTCAAAAAAAAGTATTCTACACGTCCTACAAGTGTCTACATAAATAATTATACCTGATACATCATTTGAAGTGTTAAAAATTATTAGGACGTATCCAATGAGTGACAATGTCTAATATGTGTCCAAGTATCCATGCTCCTTAGATGATAAATGCATAGCATCATTTTTATCACATGATAAATAAAATTTATTTTTCTTATAGAAATTGGGTATAAATGGACAAAGTCCATTGTGATACCAGATTTTCAATAAATGACAACAAAGTGAAAAATAATTAAGAACCCTATAACGACTTCAAAATTCCCAATTTCCACTGAGTCTAAAAGCACAGTGACTGTCACTTTTGCTACTCTCACAAAATTCCTCATACGAAGTTTAACATGCAATAATTCTGAAACTAATTATCACATCAATAATTTGACTATTATGTAAGCCATCAAGAGTAATAACAATAGAGTAATATAGCTCTTATTAGACTTGCAGACTTCTTCAACAACCAGCTGCTGGTAGTCAATTTCTGGACACTTGAAAACACAATACCGATTATAGACTAATCAAATGCCCCGAGAAAGGTCATGTGGCTATACAAAGATGGCACTTCTGAGGTGCTCGAAAATATGAAATACAAGTCACAGTCTCTTGCTATACCAAGTAAAAACTACTTGCTGCAATTAGTCTTGATACTTCAATAAAATTAATAACTGATACTTACAGCCAGTTTTTTTTTGGGGGGATAAAAATCAGCTTTACAGGGAGAGTAAATATGAATCAATGATACTATCAATAATGAAAAAAATGAAAAGGATGGAGAAATCAAATTTCGAGACTATCCATCTCAAGCACACAGGCCGGTTGGAGGAAAACTGTGTGATCAGTCTTTACAAGGTGATGTATTTTCTTGCACGAAATTGACAGAGCGAATTCTTATCACCTTATACCCTGATAGGACTCTGAAAATGATCTTGAAAGCCATAGGTGCTTTAATTTGACTATCAGAGCAAAGGCTCCAAAGCATGGGATGTGCAACAAACCCACTGTGGCGTACCTGTACCACAGAAACATATGTTGATTAGCTCTAATCCCAACCAATAGGATGATGATAAAGAAGAGATACTCGTCATCCAATGCCAAAAATGAATATTCAAGACACTGAACAATTGTCAAAAATAAAATTCACTTAATTAAACCAAACTAAAGAAAAGAGCAGGCACCATTGACAATGATGCAAGCAAATTCTAAATTTAGGAGATATTCAAGAATCCGCTACTGAGCTTTCAATTCAGCTGCCTTGTTCTTTCTAGCATAAACAAGGTAATAACAGCTTGCATAAATGGAAGATTAAAAAACATGATGCTAGCAAACATTTTACTTAAAATACAAGTATACAAAAGATAAGGGAAATGCAGTCAGCTTTGCATAAGCAAAGAGATAATTAAAGGGCAATAAGGCATTATAATATAGGTGGGAGCTAATTACCATATCGGAGCATATGGAGGTGACAAGTCCATGAATGGATAAGGCCACCTACAAAATTAAGAAATAAGTGATTAGAAGGGTTTTTTTTTTCTTTTTGTTTTTTTTTTTTTTTTTTTTTTTTTTTTTTTTTTTTTTACATAAAGGAATTGTGAAATACTAAATAAAGATGACAACTTACTTGAGGGAAACACAAGCATGGATTATCCATTGAACGACAACAAACACTCCGGTCCACAAGATAAAATAGGCAATACGGAACATAGGGAACTTCTGAAATATCAGAATTGGTAATCCAATTAAAGATGATAACAATTAAATCCAATGTCTCTCAACCCCAAGAAAACAACAAAGCTCTTAATAACCAAGTAAATCTTACCATGCAATTCAAAATTGAGTCCCCAAGGATGAGAAAGTTGATAGAATGTAAGCTAACATCAAACTGCGTTCAAATTAAGAAAGGCAATCAGAAGACCAAAAAAGAAATTCATGAATATATACGACGTATCTACCTTCAATAAAATTGCGTTTGAAACTGTGCAACTGCGTACATCAGATAATTGGTTTCTTAAAATTTTATACAAATAATAAACCGATTTATTTCCTTACGCTCTGCCCACTTTGTGCTCAATTTAACAACCTTCCTTCCTCTAGGTCAAAAAGTTTCCAATAATTGAGTTTGAGAAGAGCAAAATTCCTCAAGTTTTTCCAATCATGCAACATAATTAGCTATCTTAATTCTTTAAAGCTCTCACTTTTGCAATTTACAATCACTAAAGCCAACAGTGTTTCACTAGGTAAGTCTATTTGAGAAAAGAAACTCATACTGTCTGTTCATTTTGCTGACCGCCCCCCCTCCCCTTCAGTCCTACATTCATGATTCATCTATGTTAGTACGTTACTTGATCGACCCTTCAAAAGTATTGGACTACTAAAAACATCTATTTTCTCTAACAATATTTATCCATTTTAGACCTAGCTATATATGATGAGAAATATCAGATTGTTATTGTAGCATATATCCCCAGAAGAACAGATACATAATTACAAGACCATGCATGTGGTGCCTGTATCACTGTATGCGATTGCTATGTGAATATACATTGGCACCTTTACATATTGCAAAGAATGCAGATATAGACATACAGTAACTAATGAAACAAGATACAGCAGAATCAATAGATTTTGCACTCACAAAAGCAAGTCTATAATCTTTGCCTGTTAGAAATGGGTAAATTAAGAGCCAAAATACAACATCGGTGAGCAGCACAGCACCTGCAGCTACCTGTGTAAAATGTATAAGAGAACAAGAAATTAGAAACGAGATCCTTATAACTTATAAATTATGCAAATGCACAGTTGTATAGATGCAGTCATGCAGATATTTTTTTTGCCCAAAATTGAATACAATAATGTAATCCAATAGTAAAGAAGTCTTCTCCGTACACAACAACCACTATCCAGCATGAATCCCACTTTAAGCAAGGCTTGGGAATAAGGGGAACTATAAGAAAATAATAAAATAGGAAACTGACTAACCTGGTACATGATTTGGAGAAGATAACCCGTACAACCTGCAACGTGGTGAACATGAACTTCTTGAATAATCAAGCTGTTTAACAAAAGATGTGTTCGCACTACCTTCGAGCTTTGGGGCAACATTAGATCCTGGCTCTGCATCAATATTCTGGGAAGCAGCCTTGGAGTGACAATCTTCACCACAATCACGCCAGCATCCATAAAGAGAGAATGCAGATGCAAACTATAAAGTCACATCACAAAACCAACACAGAATGTAAACATTGGGAGAAGATCAATGCACCTTGAAAGAAGGGCAGGTGCAGACACTCAGCTAATTGCATTCAGAGATATAATAATAAAGGTAAAAAGACAAGAAAAAAATCTGCCTAAACAAGAAAAAAGTTTCCTTCACAATTGTTTCTTATGCAGGATTCAAGTTATTTCTACTGGTAATGTGCTCTTACTGCCGTCAAGGCTAAAGAAACCTTCAGTTTAGGAGTTCATAATAAAGTCTTCATATAGATTTCTCTTTGCTAATAAGTGTTTTGGGTGGTTGTTAGAGTAGAACATACCCCAAAGTATATGGTGGTCAGCGTAAAGGTCCACCTGTTCGTAGAAAAAAAACAAAGAGCAATCAGCAGAAAGTATGAAATTTAATAAGAAACAAAAGAAAGTCACAAGAACTTACTGAGTATAGTAGAAAAAGATTCCAGGTCCTTTAGCAATAGTGTTGCTAACGATCACTGCCAACAGCAAAACAAAAGCAAATAATCTAAAAGCAAGCAGAAAGGCAGGATGAATGCTTTTCAGACATGTTTTCCAAACTTCATCCTTGTATAGAACTCCGACTGGTATAATTCCGCGTTCTCTCCTCTCATTGTCTAATTTCTTTTTGCCTTCATATTTCCATATAAGAAAAGTACTAAACACCGTGATGCCCAAGATATATAAAGCACAAATAAGAAACCTCCAGTTTAACCAATAATTAGGGTCTGTTGTATCAGTAGCCATGGTCTACTTGCCTATTTGTTAACACGCCTGCATAAGAAGGATCATTAATGTTGTAAACTCTATATATACTTTGTACATCATATCTATTTGCAAATATCTGTTTTGGGACAAGCAGTGCAGATGTACAGTTCATGCAAGAACATAACATTACAAGAGATCGATTACAGAATGGGTCCTACACTGATTTAACTATAGTAACCTGATGGTTAAACAATAGATTAAACTCCTTCCATCTCAAAATACGTGTTAGTAAACAAGACACAAGTAGTCAGGATTTGATAGTTACGAGTAGTGTTCTAAACCAACAGTTCAGAAACAGTACAGTTAATGTTCGATACTGAAATGAATTTGTTTGTTAATGAGCCATGCTTGAGCTTAAAATAGTAGTTTGAATATTTATAGAGCCAAACTCAAACTCTGCATTCAGCCTGAAAGCTCGTGAATTTAAACAAATAATACATAATTAAGTCCTTAATTATCAGTCAAATACAGAAATAAAAGATACCAAGACTAAACCCACACTATACTATTACAAAGTCGAGTAGCAACATTAGTATGTTTCTGCACCTACTGTTGGAACATGCTTGATCAAGTAAGCTCAAACTCGGAATATTCTAATTAAGCCAAGCTCAACATGATTTTAAAGTTTAATCTAGAGTGACAAGTAGTGACAAATCACAAATGTAATCAAGCAAGCTCAAACTCGGAAATTCTTATTAAGCCAAGCTCGAACATGATTTTAAAGTTTAATCTAGAGTGACAAAGTGACAAATCACAAATGACAATGCTTAATGAAGCAAGCTCAAACTCGGAAAATTCTTATTAAGCCAAGCCCGAACATGATTTTAAAGTATAACCTAGAGTGAGTAACAAACCACAAATGACAAGATGCTTAATGAAGCAAGCTCAAACTCGGAAAATTATTATTAAGCCAAGCTCGAACATGATTTTAAAGTATAACCTAGAGTGAGTAACAAACCACAAATGACAAGATGCTTAATCAAGCAAGCTCAAACTCGGAAAATTCTTATTAAGCCAAGCTCAAACATGATTTTAAAGTGCAATCTAGAGTGACAAGTGACAATTCACAAATGACAAGTAATTGCACATTGGCATTCAAAACAACAAATTACTAAAAATGAAAAGAGTAATAAAAACCTCAACCTAATATTGTCGAGCATTTCTTGTGTAAGATAGTTATATGATACGACAAGAGTGACTTTTCGCGATATAAGGGTAACGTTCATGATTAACTACCAAATTTAGGGGCGACTATATTAGAAAATCACAGTACATAACACAACCAAAACAGCATTAGAATTACAATCAAACATTCTGAGCAAAATATGAACAAAATAAATTCTGGGTTCTTGAAAAAATCATAAAATCTCGTATTAAAAAAGAAATCAGTAAACAAAATAAAAAAAATTCACAAAAATAATGCTAAAACAAGAAATGAAAAAGTACCTGATTTAGATAATTAATCTGAAAACTCCAAATAAAAGTGGGAATTCAGAGGATTCGGAGGAGAGATGAAGTCGGAGGAAGATGAACAAGAAGAGTTGAGTGGATTGATAGCAGTAACAAACAGTCTATCACACCCCAAAATTCACCCGCAATTTAATTTTTTTGGGTGATATTTTGGGGAGGAAAGAGAGAGAAAAGGCAAATGAAAGTACGCCAATGAAGGAGCCGTGGGTCGATTTTTGCAGCGTCTAAAAAGTTCACGTAATATCGACTTATTTTTGTTTTTTTAGTGTGTCACAAAATCTTCATATAACACGTGGAATTATTATGTGAGGTGTAAATTATTGGTGTGCATTAAATTAAGGGTTTTTTTAGAAATTAATACCATAAAATTGTCACGATTTTGACAAAAAAAAAAAAAAAAAACTTTTATTACAACACCACAAAAAAAAAAAAAAAACCCAAAAATTGGATTTCACCACCACTTAACGGATCCTTGGATGGAATCCGTTTACTAAGGTCCACCATGTACACGTGTCAATTGTTTATTGGTTTAAAAAAAATTAAAATTTAAAAAAACCCTAAATTCTAACCCAGCCACCAACACCACTGTCGGCTTCCCTTCACACTACCGCCGGCCAGCCCCACTGCCGCAAGCCTAACCAAGCCGCCGGTAAACTCCATCGCCCCACCAGCCCTATCCCTCGATAACTCCATCGCCCTTATCACCACTGCCGCCGAAGCACAGCAACATCACGCCGCCACCACCTACTACAACAGCATCACCACCACCGTCGCCGAACTTAGCCAGAAACGTCGCCGAAACCCTAACCCGCACCCATACCTAAACCCACAAACCGCCCTACTCCTCTCACCCTCACCTAAACCCAAACCCGTATGTACCCAGAAACCAAATTGATTTCTGGGCGTTCGACTTTTAGATTGGCGTTCGATTTCTGGGCGGTGGATTTCGTATTCGCGGCGATTGAAAGGACTAGGGTGGTTGTTGTCGTTTATGAGGGTGGTGATTGGGCTGATCTCGTTGGTTTTGGTGGGACAAGGGGTGTCGGTGGTGGCTAGTGGCTGGTTAGGGTTGTTTTTTTTAATTATCTCTTTTTTAAACCAATACTTAATTGATACATGTCCATAGTGGTCCCAAAAATCCGTTAGTGGGTGGTAAAATCAAACTTTTGGGTTTTTTTGGTGGTGTTATAATAAAAGTTTTAAAATATGTGGTGTTATAATCAAATTTCTGTGATTTTTGTGGTGTTATTTTCTACAAAATCCATTTAACTTAGCTAAATTTTTTTCTCTTTTTTCACTCCCCCTCACTCGGAGGGAGTCCACTTCATAAGATCAAAGGCAATAAAAGGAGTAGTTCCTTAGCCTTATAAAGTGTTTAACTCTCTCTTCTTTTCTCAATGTGAAACACTTACATGTGCTGTTTGGAAAGTTTATACTTCAACATCTATCAAAGAAAGATGTCAGTTTTAATTGTACATTTTGCCGATTTTGGTTCATTTGATCATTCGAGAGAGAGCAAGGTTGAGTAAATAAGTCAATTAAATAACTTTGATTGAATTATGGACATTGTACAACCAATTATTTTACAAATACCTCGTACTTCGTAAATTACTAGATTAATGCCCGTGCGATGCATTGTAATAATAATCTTTTTCCCATAATGAATTTTGATATAATATAAAAATGAGGCAACTCATGTGAAATAAACAAATGCAATGCATATAGAAAATTAAAATAATAAGGCAAAATTTATTAAAACTACAATTGAGAAAGAAAAAAATTTATTGTTGATTAGTTGAGTTGAAAATATTTAAAAATAGTATACATTATATTACATTAATAATGCATATTATTCCCAATAAAATTATACAATCTAGTGACTATATGACTAAAGACTTATTTATAAATGCCTTTTAAAGTTTTAATAAACATCAAAACATTAATCAAACAACAAACTAAAATCTACAGTAAAACTATTGGCAACATACATGTAAATATATAATTAAATTACAAATTAAATAATATATCATCTTTATATCCAATAAAATAATTTCAATGGAAATAAATACTACTTAGATCATTAAAGGCAATAACAATCAATAATTAGGCAACGCTAACCTATATTATTAGTAGTACATTTTTTGTTTATGGATTGATGCTCTACATGATATCGTCACTCTTTGTTATTATAGGAAAAATGTGTTTGAAAGCTCTCCAATAATTCTAGTTTGATCATTGTTTGTTTATTGCCTTAAAATTTTATTTGTCGATGAGCTATTTATCCAAAAAAAAAAAAAAAAAAAAAAAGAATGTGTCACTTGTCACTATCTCTGACGTGTTTTTTAAAATACAACTTATTTATGAATGTCGAATGTGATAAAATTATTATCTTAATAAAGTGTTTCAGCAAAAGATCATAGCTTTTTTGTATTTACTAAGATATTTATTTTTTTTAATAATTTAATAACAAAAAATTGATTGATATTTTACATTTTCGAATTAGACATATAATATAATTGTTGTACACAACATTTATTTTATGGTCATATCTAATACTTCATTAGTCTAATAAACAAAATAAAAAGAAATTTGAAAAAAAAAATTAAAGTGATGTTTTAAAGTAATTTCTTTAATATCAATTATTTCGATATGAATCAATTTTATCATTACTTTTTCGGTAAAACTCAATAATATTCGTTTAAAAGATAATTAAAAAAAAAAAAAAAGAGTTGGAAAACTATTTTAGGTAAATGTGTATGGAAAATTTTAGAACACAGTAAAAATGAATACATTTTATATAGAGATAATATCTACCGTACAAGCAATTTAAATAAATTTCTGCTTTACTTGTTAATTTCTTTGGTTTAAGAAGTTAATTCACCAACAGTAATTATCATAATTAGTAGTCTTTTAATTTATTATGTACAAACTATTTTTACACCCCAGTCTATGCACAAGATACAAGAGGACAGTTAACATAGGTATCACCATATCAGATTTGGTATTACAATTTTAATCCCCACATAATTATTGATTTTGCCTATGCAATCTCTCTACTATCAGATCAACTGGTAAAGAACCTAGAGGGCCAGGTGATTCTGCTTCCTCAAACAGGTCATCTCCATAATCTTCAAACTCGTCGTCTTCATCATTGGAGTAATCATTAATTTCTTCATCGTCTTTAAAGACCTCATCTTTGGTTTCCAAATTTGATAATTCACCCTCACCTGCATGGACTAGAGCAGGATACGAATGTTCAATTGCTTGTGTCATCCTATCAAATTCCTCCACCCTTTCTAAAAGAGCATCAGGACCCAGATCAGTCTCGTCGAGTAAAACTGCCTTATTTGACTCAATTGCACGTTTCCATAGTGACATCATTCTTGGGCTTGAGATTACAGTTTTGGGTTTGCCTGATTTTCCTGAACATGAATAAAAACAGGAAACTTGGTCTGTAAGTGCATCAAAATCTGACAAACACTAGAATACAGCTACAGCTCAACTAGAGACGCCAAGGAAAGATCTCTAACTAAACCCAGCACTCGGGTGTAATTCATTTTTGTTGCCTCGTTGACTACTTTGAGGCATCCAGCATCTATATTTTAACTGTAATCTGGACACTTGTAAGTATGTCAGACATGCGTATGTGTCCAAGTGTCAGCCTCGGAGGCTCGGAGCTATATAATGAAAATTACCCTTTTTCGTCGTCTAAAATGCATTGTGAAGTGTCCATACCCCTGTTGGAGTGTGAGGATCCGATATGCACACTTGTGGTGATTTGAAAAGTCGATCAACATTAAATACAATCAAAATGATAGTAGTCTTAATCAGACATACCTGAAGCACCAAAACCATTTACAGTAGCATCCAGGGTGAGCAAGGCTGTTGGAGTGTCCGGGTACATAGACTTCCAGTTGTGTCCCCTCCACATTAGTATCTGTTCATCATCAAAAGAAAGCAACACACAGGGAACCAACTCCTGTTGCACACACAGGAAAAATGTCACTCTCTACCACTTTGCAGTTGATTTCATGATTTCATGTTTGCAACACAATATGGCCAAGTTGCATCTTTTAATAATCGAGGAAATCTATATAGAGCCAACGACATATGATCATCTCATAATCCATATCAAAGCTATGAAAATAAATCAGATACTGCCTAGTCCATTTCACCAGCTACTAACCATTGTAAATAGCTAAAGTAATTCAGAGAATCTTACATTTTCAAATTATGAACGCACAGTCAATTGAAGCCAGCCAGCATTATCATAATTATGCCATGTTTAGCAACAAAATTACACAGCGAGTAATTGACTGATAGAAGATGTCAGGACCAAAACAAGAAGGAACCTTTCTAAGCCTAAGCGAGTGGATAAAAGGGTTTTGAATAGATATGACATGGGTTTAGGTCAATAAGATGCCTATGCATCTATAGCAGGAAAAAAATTGATCATATTTGTAATTGAGAGGGAAACCTGCCTGCCCGATTGCCCGTTCCAGTCTCAATGTAAGGTTCATATTTGAAAGCAAGCATTTTGTTCACTTGGACAATTGAAAAATTTACAGCACAAATGACAACTAAAATGCAAGTGTTGGTTAGAAATTGCATTGACTAATATGTGACACCTGAATAAATATCTTCTCTAGGACTTAAGAAAAAGTGGACATTAATAGCATATCCAAACTGTAGGCATAAGTTTTCATGATCAATCCCTATTGAGATAGAAAAGAGGGGGTGGGGGTGGGGTTGGCAGTCCAATCCCAATACAATCTGACCATGTCCCTTCTGTTGCGACAACAGCAAAGCTGTGACATAATCTGTCTATACTAGTATACTACACTTGGTTCATATGAAGAAATTAGCTCCCTCGTCTTGCAAGTCTTATAAGGCTCATAATATCTTATTTGCAGTGATTGAACAGCAAGTAATACTAAGTTAGCCCTTCAAGTTATAAGTCTGCCTTAATTCTATACTAGAGAACAAAATCCTCTTAGCCTCTCTAAATCAATTTAACATCAGCAGTACTTCCTGTATTATAGCAAGCTAAACGAGAAACTTCAATGCAAAATTGGAATCTTTCAGCACTGCATTGCATAAAAGGAACTAACCCTCCAGCGGAAAAGGAGTTCATACATTCCAGGACTAACAAACATAAACCAAATGGATAGGAGTAACTACAGGAAACCAGAACAAAAAAAGTAACAGGAAATAAAAATTTTTTAAAAAAAAAAAAAAAAAAAAACACAAAAAAATTAACAACATTAACCTGTTTACTAGTTTAAATGTGTAAAATCTACTACTACGTACATGTTTGTTAAGCAGTAATTTGTAGAAATAAAAATGTGTTTGTGTAAGCTGTATATAAGGTGATAAAATAACTGTAACCCAACATATATGTTTATATTCACAAATTCCCATTACCGCTAAAAGGTGGTTTTTTTTTTTTTTTTTTTTTTTTTTTTTAAGCTAAGATGAATGACCCTACTAAACCAGCACCTCTCACAGGTTAACCCACCCCAACTCCGCGGGTCAACACTTGAGAATAGAGGGGGGAGGTAAGGGAATCCCTTACGCCCAAGCAGATGTAGTTGGTGGGGCTCGAACTCGTGACCTCAAAGTCACAAGGTGAGTTCCCCACCAACTCCACCAAGCTTCGCTTGGTAAAAGGTGGTATTGAGAGGTACTCCCTTTGTTTTTTTAAATGCATCACTTGGTGATGCGCGGAGTTTTAAGAGAGTAATATAATATTGTGAGTAGGTGGATAATTTATAATAGGAAAAATAAGATGGGGACCATGAAAGAGAGAGTAGATATTTTTATAATTTAAGTGGGGACCATGGGAGTGAGAGAAATAATAAAATAATTTAAGTGGCGTTTAAAAGAGAGAAATGATAAAATATAATATAAAGTTACCAAAAATAGAAGTGATGCATTTAAGAAAAAACACCCATAAAAGAAAAGTGATGCATTTAAAAAAAACGGAGGGAATAATAAAGATTTACGAAGAAAACACATAGTTACTCTTATCCATTTACTTTAGAGATAGTATTGAGTGGTAATAAAGAGTAACAGAAGTAGGTGTTGTTGCATTACCATAGACTTTAGCATGAGATTTCCCATAAAAATTTGTAACAGACTCATTTTTATAGCCATCGTTCAA